TCTCATCAAGAAACACGAACAAAACATTCCTCCCAAACAGGTTAGTATTTTAATTGATTATTCTTTGTCTTACTCTAAAAAAGAATAATTTTTTTCAGACTACACTGCAGGCTTTGGTGGTAAATATGGCGTTCAAAAAGAAAAACCCGCTAGCCCTCGTGTTGTTCCATCTTCTCCACAACCACCTGCTGGTATATTTATTAATGTCTTCATCACATCATCATGTATCTTCGTCTATTTTTTCAGAACCAAAAGTTGTCGAAAAATCTACAACAGTTACAAGTAGTAAAGCAGATGTTGGTAATATACGTGCAAAGTAAAACTGAGAAACTAGTTTATCAAATCATATATTTATGTATCATATAGATTTGAAAATATGAGAAAAGAAAAAGAATCAGAAACTGCAAAACGTATTGCTGAGGTAAGACAAACTCGAGCTGCTACTGATAAACAACAACAATCGAATAACGATGATCAAGAAAAACTAAAACAACAAGAAACAGTTTTAACAACGAAAGAAACTATTCGAGAACCATCACCAACTCGACCAAAGACACCAATAGAATCTGAAGTACCGCCTCCAAATCAGGATGAAAATGATGATAATAAAATTGAAACTGTAACATCAACAATAAATGAAGAGAACAATGAAAAAACAGATAAATTTGTTGGTGGTGTTAATGTGACGTCGTTATTACGTCAACGCAAAACTTCATCTTCGTCATCAAAGAAGGATGATGAAGCTGAAGATGAATGGACTGTTGATAAAGATGAAACTAATCAACAATTAAATGAAAAGACAAGTCCATCGGCAGCATCAACTGACGAAGGAAGTGAGTAAAAAAAATGAAACTATCCTCAATTTGCAACTGCTAAAACGATCCTAATTGTATTGTTAATAATTCTTTTCACTAGTAGTTCGACTACTCTATTTTTATAACTGAATATCTAATTATTCAACTTTATTTTAGTTTAGATTTATAATGAATAATGGTAAAAATAACTTCAAATTGAGATTTATTTTTGGTTAATTATATTGAAATATTGCAATAATTATTTTTGTGTGTGAATTTTTTTTTCAGTAATTCAGTCATATCCAAGTAATTTTTATTTTTATAAAAACAAGGTGTTCAAATTTTCAAAAACTTTTTCATAATGTAATGTGTATTGTATGCAATAATTGATTGATGCAATTTTTTTGATAATTTGTTTGTTTTTTTTTTATTATATTATTTTATAAACATATAATATTGCTCTAAAGACTTTTTTTGAATTCATATATCGAATTTACAGTTAGTTCTGAAATCAGAGTTTAATCAAAGGATAATGTATATTGTTTTTGCATCATTGCAATTAATGAAATGACGCTTATGTAAAAATAATGAAATTAAATAGTGAATGAGATGGTGTTCTATACAATTAATTCATATATTTATATAAGAATTCGAATACTATCACCAATTGATCGTAATGTAATAAGTATTCTCCACGGAAATGGACATTTTTGAAGTTCAATAGGTAATTGAATCATCATATTGATTCTATGATGTTCAAAATGAATTTGTCTATTATCACAATCTAATATCATTTTTACTTCATCACCTGTTCGAATAATTCTATCATTATGAATTCGATTTCCATGAACACTTTCAATAGCTTGATCAAGTTCCCACCAACCGTAAACATATGGTGAATTTAAAGTTTGTACAGGCATATCATGAGCGTCTGACTTGATACCAAAAAAAAGATTATTACTTCCTTTACTTTCGATTCGAAAATGAATTGCATGTGTTCCAGATACATAAAGACGAGTACCATACACAGTAGAACCATCCCAATAGGTACCTGAGCATGTTGCTAAAAGACCATCTTCGGTTAGAAGTATTTTTCCAAGAAAATTACAAAATTTTTCATGAATAAATGTAAACATATCTTGGCAAACAATATTATTTCCGGCAGCTGTTTCATTGGAAACAGAAGACGCACATGACAATTGTTGTTCATGTACTTTAATCATATGTATAGAATTTGATGTATTTTCATCCTCGACGATTTTCATAGTCATATTTGTTTCCAATAATTTACGAAGTTCTTTTAACTCTTGTACCCATCTTGATAAATCAGTTTCGGTAAAATCATCCAGTTCTCTACATGATTGTATTTCATTAGTGATTTTATCTGTTGACACTTTCAGTTCACTTTTAGTTTGATCAATAAAATGTCGTAGATCAGCACGAGCTGCTGCAGCTGTTACTTGAATCTTAGTGATTGATTCTTGTTCCCATTCATCGATACGTATTAATAGGGAATGAGCTAAATTATCCGGCATTATATCACGTCGAAAAATATCATGTTCTTGTCCAACATTATCCAATTGTATAGCGAGTTCTTGTCGATGTTCAATGATATGTTTAATACAAAATGTTTGTTGACATCCATCACATGTAGTAACGCCTCCACCTTTTAGACATTGAACACAAGGCTTTTTTATAATAACTGATGCCATTTAAATATAAATAGATGCGAATTGTCAAGTTCTATTATTTGAAAAATAAAAAATAAAATGTCTTATAAAAGGAATCGTCTCGTATGACTTGCCGTCCAGAAGAAACATTGTCGCCAGGCAAAGAAAAACAGAAAGAAAAAAACGATCACGTTGACAATGTGTTTATCATAGAAAAGAAAAAAATTAAATTTTTACTTTTTTTATTTTTATTTTTTCATTATGTGTTAAAACAGACGACAACAGCAAAACTGTTAGAATTAATAATACTGTCAAATGAGTGCATTTAGTTACAGGCATATAACTGTAATACGTAACACTTTTTAAATATGACTCAAATATTTAATTCTTTCTTTAAATTAATAATAATCTGTATTTAAATCAATACGTATTGAAGATCTGTTCCAATGTAAGAGAAAAAACACCTAGGAGGTTCTTTTGATTTAATTTTTATTGAAGCGAGTTTTTGTTGATTTTGACCATATATTCGATTCGAAATAGACTGGTTTTTTTCGTAGTACGAATGATGGTAGCTTCTCAATATTGTTCTGGTTCATTCAGTATGTTTTAGTAATTGAACTGGTAATACAATACATGAGAATATCGATGGATTCTTATTTTAAAACGAATTCATAAGAAACGAGCACATTGTTATTTAAAATTCTGATTTTCGTATTCATCAGCAAGTAATGACGGTCGAAGCATTGAACATAAACTCATTGAGAATCGTGGTAATATCTGTTTATGGATGAAAAGTGTAGCATAGTATTAAATCGGAATTTTTTCATACAGCTGTATTAAGCACTACATATTGAATACACAAAATATCGAGTCTTCAAGCATGATCCACTCTCTTGTCTATTATTCCACTACGCAGTACCAAATATTTTTATAGGACTTTGTTAGTAAACATTCTTTTATAAAAAAAAAAAGAACAATATACTTGTTAAATCACTTGAATTCAAGTACTTATGATTATAGTATTGCTTCAGGTTTAAAATACACTTTGCTTCACTAAACAACACTATGAAATCGATATTATATAACATTTTCTCATGTAATAATAATCTAATTGCAATTATTGATCATAAAATGAAAGCTTATCAATTTATTATATGTACATTTCAGTATAAATACCAAACAAAGACAAAATGTTATGTTTTGTTTTGTGTAAAATATTTTTGACATTTCATCCTGTGCTATTTTCTTTAATACATTTACACGGCAAATGTTATTCGGATTTTGTACATAAGTTTGAAGATAGTAGCTTCACAAAATTCATAGAAGAAAATTTATTTGACGATATTGATTTAGTTTTGAACGGCATCAACTTAGCTTTGGTTTTTCTATATTATTAAAGAGTTTATGAGTGACTTCTTTTCATAGGATATGTCAATATTATACTTCAGTATATCAATATTTGTAAAATTATTTTGAAATTTTTATTATAAGAACAAACTTATATTTACAAAGAAATAGTGAAAATACAAATAATGTATAAATTTTCTTATAATGAAGAGAACTGATAAGAGTTTCTCATATTTACTTTGTAAAACATGTGTTTTGTAAGTAAGTTAACTTGAATACTAACAATAGTATATTTAAAAAGTAAAGAAATGTAGTGTAATTTAATTTTACATGTATAACTAAGAGTTTCACCCTTTATGAGTGCAGTCATCATCAGTCAAAAAAAGACATCATCTGTGACCATGAGTTCATTTGATTCATAACAAACAATAACTGATGAAAAAGAACTAGAAGCAACGAAAAGTTAAATTAAGCGACATTTCTTTGTCTTTTTGATATACTATTGTTGTCATTTAAGTTTACTTACTTATTGATCATGTTTTTGCAGAATTAAATACTTGACATGTATAGATTTTATTAAATTGAAGATATTCATTTATTCCTGAGTAAGTTTAAATGATCAGTTATTATATATGATGGTTATGTTTATATGGATTTATTTAATTGTTGTGTACGGTAGCACAGCTTTTGTTATTTTAGTTGTTTTTTCATCAGTTGTCTTTTCTTATGAATAAAATCAAGTCAAGGTCATAGATGATATTTTCTTCGCTAATGATGACCATACTCAAAAAGGTCAAGAATTTCAGTTATATATGTAAAACTAAATTATACTGAATTTCTCTACTTTTTTTTTAATGTATTTTGCATATGGAACTTCAAATTGAATGAGGTTCTCTCTGTTGACATAAATGAGGATTCCAAAAGTCATCAACAATGTGAAATAACGCAAATTTGCTGAACTTATATAAGAGAAAGCGAAATTTTCATTTATAACAGTTTCATTATCAAAAGTGGTGTCATCAATAAGACTATGTCTTGGTTTTTTGAAGAGCCATCATTGTATTATTAGATTGCATTTAATTTAGATTCAATGTCGATTGCTTGTTATATTCCGACTTGAACATCATCTAAGAAAAGAGAATTAGATGTAGATTCAGTTCTCATAAAGTTTTTTGTAGATGTCTATAGAAAATCATTGTGAGTTATGTTCGGAAGTAAATGTTTTCTTGTTAAATTTTGGCTTTTGTTTAATAGGTGATTGACTAGTAATAGTAGGTTGCAAGTAAGGTGTGAAAGCATTTATTGTTAAATCAAACAATCTACGTGCTTACCATCTGATAATTTGAGTGCTATTCAGTCCATCGATTACATTGTTGCTATATATCTATTCGACTTTATCTCAGATTAAAAGAATATTTATCAAAGTTAATCATTGTTTCTCATTTTTGTTAAGAGAAAAAACTCTCAAAAAATGTCGATGAGAAACAAGTGAACCTGCTTCTATATCCATCATGAGCTTCTGCAATCATCTAGAACATAGTTCCATTGTACCGTCAAATTCATAGATTTTCTAATAGGCAAAACGAACACAAATTAGACTATAGAGACTTTCAATGATTTGAAAGTAATCGATCGTAGCTGAGAACGATGATACAGAATGTAACGTATTATTTTGTACAAATATCAATATAAATTGAAAACTAATCTAGTCAAAGAAGTTTTTTGATTATATTTTATTCTCATTAGTTTCACTGATGAATCACTGTTTAGATTATATTATTTATATTGATGGATTTCTGTTAGCAGTGTATCAGCAGTACAAGATTTAGCAATTGCCTTCTCTAAAAATAATTTAGACAAGCAACAGGAACTTATTGCCTTCTGTGTATGAAAAAGTAAAGCTACCCAATCCAAAATACATGTATTTAAAATCTTGAGAATGAGAATAAATAATTGTTAAAATATCAGGCAATTTTTTACACTATTATCAAGACTTGAACACATGGATCAGTGGACACAAGGTAATCATT